ATATTCATTGTAAAAATGAAAATACCAAAAGTGTAACACGCAAGGGCTTGGAACCTTCTACTTGATGCAAAGTCATTGATATATATCAAAGAAAAATACCTTTGAAAAAAATCAAACAAAAAAACTTTATTACAAAATTGATTTTGTCATTATAAATAAAAAATTGAAAAATTAAATATATATTTGTGACCCTTTTATAGATCTAAACTTTTTAAAGTAACTTTGCATCAGTAGGCAGCATTAAAAATTTTGGTTTGTGACTAGATCAGCCCACAATTCTACAACTGCCACTATCAGCACAGTACCCAAGTATACATCTGTTAACATCATAACACAATTATATCACTGTCTCTTTCAGCACAGTTCACAATAGTATCTCTTTAATTATTAGCATCCAATTAGAAGACTGTCACATTTATACTACTGTGTCTTTAAGCACAGTACACAATTATAGTCCAGTCACTTTCACTCTCAGCATATTTTTATAATTATATCTATCATCAATTGTTCAGAATTCAAAATATTGTCACAATTATACCAATGTCAGTATCAGTACACCACTGCTGCTTTAAGTAAAGTTCAAAGGTAAGCCATTTTTACTATCAAAAACAATACACAATTCAAACACTGCAATAATAAGATTTTTTACTATTAGCATAGTTCACAATTATACCACTATAACACTGTAAATGACAGCCAGAATTCCTTATCAATCATAATGTGATCCCTCAAAGTGCATTATTAAACCACTGAAACTTTAAGTACAGTACAAAATGATACCTCTGTCAGTATCATCCCACAATTCCCACCACAGTCACATCAGTATATTGTAGCTCCAATATCACTGTCATATCAAAAAACAGTCATTCTGTTGTCACATTAGTCAACTATAATTCCAATGTCACTATCAGCCCATTTATTAAACAGTTATACCGCTGTCACATCAGTCCACTATAACTCCAATGCCAGTATCAGCCCATTTATTCAACAGTTATACCGCTGTCACATCAGTCCAACATAACTCCAATGCCAGTATCAGCCCATTAATTCAAGAGTTATACTGCTGTCACATCAGTCCACTATAACTCCAATGCCAGTATCAGCCCATTAATTCAACAGTTATACTGCTGTCACATCAGTCCACTATAACTCCAATGCCAGTATAAGCCAATTAATTCAACAGTTATACCGCTGTCACATCAATCCACTATAACTCCAATGCCACTATAAGCCCATTAACTCAACAGTTATACCACTGTCATATCAGTATACTATAAATCCAATGCAACTATAAGCCTATTAATTCAACAGTTATACCGCTGTCACATCAGTATAGTATAACTGGAATGCCACTATAAGCCAATTCATTCAACAGTTATTCCGCAGTCACATCAGTCCTTTATAACTCCAATGTCACTATCAGCTCATTAACTCAACAGTTATACCGCTGTCACATCCGTCTACTATAACTGCGATGCCAGTATTAGCCTATTAACTCAACAGTTATATCGCTGTCACATCAGTCCACTATAACTCCAATGCCACTATAAGCCCATTAACTCAACAGTTATATCGCTGTCACATCAGTCCACTTTAACTCCAATTCCACTATAAGCCCATTAACTCCACTGTTATACCACTGTCACATCAGTATACTATACATCCAATGCTATTATCAGCCCATTAACTCGAACAGTTATACCGCTATCACATCAGTCCACTATAACTCCAATTCCACTATAAGCCCATTAACTCAACAGTTATACCACTGTCATATCAGTATACTATACATCCAATGCCATTCTCAGCCCATTAACTCAACAGCTATACCGCTATCACATCATCCAATTTAACTCCAATGCCACCAAAAGCCCATTAACTCCACAGTTACACCACTGTCACATCAGTATACTATACATCCAATTCCACTATAAGCCCATTAACTCCACAGTTATACCACTGTCATATCAGTATACTATACATCCAATGCCACTATCAGCCCATTAACTCAACAGTTATACAGCTATCAAATCAGTCCACTATGACTCCAATGCCACTATAAGCCCATTTACTCCACAGTTATACAACTGTCACATGAGTATACTATACATCGAATACCAATATCAGCCAATTAATTCAACAGTTATACCGCTATCACATCAGTCCACTATAACTCCTATGCCACTATAAGCCCATTAACTCCACAGTTATACCACTGTCACATCAGTATACTATACATCCAATGCAACTATAAGCCTATTAATTCAACAGTTATACCGCTGTCACATCAGTATACTATAACTGGAATGCCACTATCAGCCAATTCATTCAACAGTTATTCCCCAGTCACATCAGTCCTTTATAACTCCAATGCCACTATCAGCTCATTATTAGACAGTTGCACCCTTGTCACATCAGTCCACTATAACTCCAATGCCACTATAAGCCCATGAACTCCACAGTTATACCGCTGTCACATCCGTATACTATACATCCAACGCCACTTTCAGCCCATTAACTAAACAGTTATACCGCTATCACATCAGTCCACTATGACTCCAATGCCACTATAAGCCCATTAACTCCACAGTTATACCACTGTCATATCAGTATACTATACATCCAATGCCACTATCAGCCCATTAACTCAACAGTTATACAGCTATCACATCAGTCCACTATGACTCCAATGCCACTATAAGCCCATTTACTCCACAGTTATACCACTGTCACATCAGTATACTATACATCCAATGCCACTATCAGCCCATTAACTCAACAGTTATACCGCTATCACATCAGTCCACTATGACTCCAATGCCACTATAAGTCCATTAACTCAACAGTTATACCACTGTCACATCAATATATTATACATCCAATGCCACTATCAGCCAATTGATTCAACAGTTATATCGCTGTCACATCAGTCCACTATAACTCCAATTCCACTATAAGCCCATTAACTCCACAGTTATACCACTGTCATATCAGTATACTATACATCCAATGCCACTATCAGCCCATTAACTCAACAGTTATACAGCTATCAAATCAGTCCACTATAACTCCAATGCCACTATAAGCCCATTAACTCAACAGTTATATCGCTGTCACATCAGTCCACTATAACTCCAATTCCACTATAAGCCCATTAACTCCACAGTTATACCACTGTCACATCAGTATACTATACATCCAATGCTATTATCAGCCCATTAACTCGAACAGTTATACCGCTATCACATCAGTCCACTATAACTCCAATGCCACTATAAGCCCATTAACTCAACAGTTATACCACTGTCATATCAGTATACTATACATCCAATGCCATTCTCAGCCCATTAACTCAACAGCTATACCGCTATCACATCATCCAATTTAACTCCAATGCCACCAAAAGCCCATTAACTCCACAGTTACACCACTGTCACATCAGTATACTATACATCCAATGCCACTATCAACCCATTAACTCAACAGTTATACCACTGTCACATCAGTATACTATACATCCAAAACCACTATCAGCCCATTAACTCAACAGTTATACCGCGATCACATCAGTCCACTATAACTTCAATGCCACTATAAGCCCATTAACTCCACAGTTATACCACTGTCACATCAGTATACTATACATCGAATACCACTATCAGCCAATTAATTCAACAGTTATACCGCTATCACATCAGTCCAATTTAACTCCAATGCCACCAAAAGCCCATTAACTCCACAGTTACACCACTGTCACATCAGTATACTATACATCCAATTCCAGTATCAGCCTATTAACTCAACAGTTATATCGCTGCCACATCAGTCCACTATAACTCCAATGCCAGTATCAGCCCATTTATTCAATAGTTATACCGCTGTCACATCAGTCCACTATAACTCCAATGCCAGTATCAGCCTATTAATTCAACAGTTATATCGCTGTCACATCAGTCCACTATAACTCCAATGCCAGTATCAGCCCATTTATTCAATAGTTATACCGCTGTCACATCAGTCCACTATAACTCCAATGCCAGTATCAGCCTATTAATTCAACAGTTATACCGCTGTCACATCAATCCACTATAACTCCAATGCCAGTATCAGCTTATTAACTCAACAGTTATACCGCTGTCACATCAGTCCACTATAACTCCAATGCAACTATAAGCCTATTAATTCAACAGTTATTCCGCAGTCACATCAGTCCTTTATAACTCCAATGCCACTATCAGTTCATTATTAGACAGTTGCACCCTTGTCACATCAGTCCACTATAACTCCAATGCCACTATAAGCCCATGAACTCCAGTTATACCGCTGTCACATCCGTATACTATACATCCAATGCCAGTATCGTCAGCCCATTTATTCAACAGTTATACCGCTGTCACATCAGTCCACTATAACTCCAATGCCAGTATCAGCCCATTTATTCAATAGTTATACCGCTGTCACATCAGTCCACTATAACTCCAATGCCAGTATCAGCCAATTGGTTCAACAGTTATATCGCTGTCACATCAGTCCACTATAACTCCTATGCCACTATAAGCCCATTAACTCCACAGTTATACCACTGTCATATCAGTATACTATACATCCAATGCCACTATCAGCCCATTAACTCAACAGTTATACCGCTATCACATCAGTCCACTATGACTCCAATGCCACTATAAGTCCATTAACTCAACAGTTATACCACTGTCACGTCAATATATTATACATCCAATGCCACTATCAGCCAATTGATTCAACAGTTATATCGCTGTCACATCAGTCCACTATAACTCCAATGCCAGTATCAGCCCATTAATTCAACAGTTATACCGCTGTCACATCAGTCCACTATAACTCCAATGCCAGTATCAGCCTATTAACTCAACAGTTATACCGCTGTCACATCAGTCCACTATAACTCCAATGCCAGTATCAGCCCATTTATTCAACAGTTATACCGCTGTCACATCAGTCCACTATAACTCCAATGCCAGTATCAGCCTATTAATTCAACAGTTATACCGCTGTCACATCAGTCCACTATAACTCCAATGCCAGTATCAGCCTATTAACTCAACAGTTATACCGCTGTCACATCAGTCCACTATAACTCCAATGCCAGTATCAGCATATTAATTCAACATTATACCGCTGTCACATCAATCCACTATAACTCCAATGCCAGTATCAGCCCATTTATTCAACAGTTATACCGCCGTCACATCAGTATACTATAACTCCAATGTCACTATTAGGCCATTAATTAAACACTATAATGCTGTCACATGAGTATACTATAACTCCAATGTCACTATTAGGCCATGAATTAAACACTTATTATGCTGTCACATCAGTATACTATAACTCCAATGTCACTATTAGGCCATTAATTAAGCACTATAATGCTGTCACATCAGTATACTATAACTCCAATGTCACTATTAGGCCATGAATTAAACACTTATTATGCTGTCACATCAGTATACTATAACTCCAATGTCACTATTAGGCCATTAATTAAACACTTATTATGCTGGCACATCAGTATACTATAACTCCAATGTCACTATTAGGCCATTAATTAAACACTATAATGCTGTCACATGAGTATACTATAACTCCAATGTCACTATTAGGCCATTAATTAAACACTATAATGCTGTCACATGAGTATACTATAACTCCAATGTCACTATTAGGCCATTAATTAAACACTTATTATGCTGTCACATCAGTATACTATAACTCCAATGTCACTATTAGGCCATTAATTAAACACTTATTATGCTGTCACATCAGTATACTATAACTCCAATGTCACTATTAGGCCATGAATTAAACACTTATTATGCTGTCACATCATTATACTATAACTCCAATGTCACTATTAGGCCATTAATTAAGCACTATAATGCTGTCACATCAGTATACTATAACTCCAATGTCACTATTAGGCCATTAATTAAACACTATAATGCTGTCACATGAGTATACTTTAACTCCAATGTCACTATTAGGCCATTAATTAAACACTATAATGCTGTCACATGAGTATACTTTAACTCCAATGTCACTATTAGGCCATTAATTAAACACTATAATGCTGTCACATGAGTATACTATAACACAATTATTTCACTGTCAATATCAGTGTCATATCAATGAACAATTATTAAAGTTACTTCATAATAAACTTCTTCTTTAAAATAAAACTACTGTATCTAGTCTTTTTTTTGTTTCATTCTGGCTGCTCTTTCATTTATTCTCCGAGCAGTAAATTCCTCCAATGTTTCTGTGGAGGTTTTCGGACAATGAAGAGCACCCCAAAGGTTCTTGTGGGTGTCTTTGCTGATAGTGTCTCCACATTTTTTGCATGTTCTGTGAGATTTACTCTGCACATATTTCCGTCTCACCTTGCCCTCTTCCATTTCTTTTGATTTAATGCGTCTATATCTCATTGTTTGGTAATGGATATCTGGCGAAGATACTGGCATTGAAGTCTGCACAGGAGCTTGTTGTGGAACAACAACAAAAAGTGGAGACTCAGGATTTGATACTTGTGTTGTTGTTGTTGTCTGAGAAGCTGAAACTGATTTGCTTACTTTGTGCTTCAGCAACTTCTTCTTTGGCTTGACACTACCAGCTGTGTTTGGAGGGGATCTTAATGGATTCTCCTGTTGTGCAGGTCCAACTTGTAATTTTGCTGGTAGTGTAATGGGCGTCAGAAGAGGGTGTGGTGCTGTCATCTCTGGTTTCGGCAAACTTAACCCCTGTGACAGCATCTTCACATTTTCCTGTCTCAATTTATTGTTGTGCCTAAAATAAAATGGGGAAAAAATAATAACATGTAACTGTAGTTTTTACTTCATTTTTTTTTTTCAAAATCAAGTTATAACAAAATTAAACAAATGGTTTCCAAATCAAAAGAAAATCATCAAAATTCATAATTAACTAGAAATGTGTCCATAGGACACTGATGCCCCCACACGCCACTGTTCTGTCAATCTTATGACTCTAGGTCAAATATTTTTTGGACTACATGTGCCATAAGTTGAAAACTAAAAATCAACAAAGGGCCATAATTCTATTAAATTTGTTCGCAGCAAAAATTCCTTCCTTTACTACCATCTACACATTAAGGTTAATAATCCCTGGAAGTTTAAGCAAAATCTGCCATCCGGTTTAAGAGGAGTTGCGTTCACAAAATTTCTACATAGTATATAGTGAAAAAATCAACAAAGGGTCATAATTCTGTTAAATTTGGTTGCAGCAAAAATTCCTTCCTTTACTGCCATCAACACATTAAGGTTGTTCATCCCTGGAAGTTTAAGCAAAATCTGCCATCCGGTTTAAGAGGAGTTGCATTCACAAAATTTCTACATAGTATATAGTGAAAAAATCAACAAAGGGCCATAATTCTGTTAAATTTGGTCGCAGCAAAAATTCCTTCCTTTACTACCATCTACACATTAAGGTTGTTCATCCCTGTAAGTTTAAGCAAAATCTGCCATCCGGTTTAAGAGGAGTTGCGTTCACAAGATTTCGGGACGTACGGACGGACGGACTGACGGACAAGTGCAACGCTATATGCTCCCACATTGTGGGGGCATAAAAATTCATATTCTTGACGAGTGTATTTATATGAATTCCATTTGAAACATTTCAATTTGTGTGGCAAAAATAGTAGTATGGTATTTTTTATTCTTACCATGCCTGTAATGTCCTCTGATTTAAGGAAGGGAGCTGAATGTCTGTACAATCCATAACTACTGCATTGTTATGGATTGTTGTATGAATCTTGTTATACGCTTCCATTATCAAACTCCATCTTGTCTTTGTCCTTCCTTGTGAAGTGCGTGAGCTGGTGAACATGGAACACAAACGCTGAACAACAGCTTCAACATATCTGTTGCAGTCTGGCTTGGCTGCTGGGATTGAATCAGGCGCTCGAACACTACTGCAAAAAAGCAATAGAATTGCATAAAGATAGGAAAGATTTTTTCCATTCTTATTATTTATTAGGAATTGATTTAAATTTTACTGTTGGAAAAAGAGTTCTTAAATGTCCATATCACAAGGACTATATTTATTCAAAGCAATATTATATATTGCCAAGAAGTGACAGATACATTAATGTTAAACAACATTGTGAAATGACTAAAAAGTACATAATAACTCTTGAAAAACTCAAGAAAAACTTGGGTAAATAAGTTTTCATATATATTTATATTAAAGGGAGACACAGGCAAAATTTTCATTTCTTAGTTTTGAATTTTTTCATCCCTAATTCTGTAAATGCCCTCAAAATGAATATATTAGACAGTCAAAGGAACAAAACTTTCCTCCATATAAAGAATAAAATGGTGGTTTCCTAACCTGACCCGCGTGGGTCAGGTTAGAGCAATGGGACTTCACAATAGTTGTAACAGTGAACTCTGGAAACGTTAAAGAACATGTCAAATGAATGATTTTGACTTGTTTCAATCATACAATATCCACAATATCTGTTAATGTAACTTCAAGGATTTGTTCAAGTCACCTGACTTGTTTTAAAACTATTCGATGATTCTATGGGCGTCTAAATTTTGTTCAACATATATAGATATATTTATGTGTCAAATCCAAAATATATAGAATCTAAAGAGAAATTCATGCTGAAACTTTAAGAAATGTCATTTTAGCGCGAGTTGAGTACAAAAGATCATTTTAATATTTTTGTCATTATTTTGCCTGAATATCCCTTTAACATAACACAGTGATAATGTGTTCACCCAAACTTTTCCGCGCAACCTCAAAATATCATACTTCTGACTGAGACAATGTATCTTTCTGTACACAGGGCATTTTTTCCTTCTATAACAGGGGACAATATAAGGCCCCTTCACAATTCAAAATTGCACTTTTTTTTTTCACAAAGTGGCAGAAAAAAATTCACAATTTCAAAAGAGATTTCACAAATTAGTGGGACTTTGTCTTCGAAATACTTTACCTTACAGGGGAAAAACTTGATTTATGCTAATTGCAATAACACAGAAATAGTTTTAATCAAGTTAAATGGTTTTTGTGCATGTTTACCCAGGTTAATGTACTGACTTGAAGCAGATTTTACACAGGTCAGAAATTATAAACAACCGTTTCCGGTTTTAAAATGTCAAGAAATGCCAAGTAGTATGTCTTTTTTTTCCCCACAATTTTATGACATATCGCGCTATTTTTCACAAAATGAACAGGCCCAGGCCCCTTCACAATTTTGACAAAAAATGCCCTGTTACAAAATGGTAATTGCGGGCTTATCAAATTGTAGGAATCAGATTAGGATACTTATTATTTTACTTACCACTCTGTACTCTGCACTCCTGGTTGTATTATCTTTTTTGGAGCCCTGAATTTATGTGTCGCCTGAGGGTTATATCTCTCTGCAAAAACTGTACGCCTTTGATCATGGGGAGAAAGGGCGTTCCAGAGCTGAATTGTATGTGCAGCTTGCTCTGATGAAAGGCAGAGATTCCCATCAACCATTGAAACTAAATGCTTTGCCAAGTCCTGGATTGCAGCATAGCCGGGCAAATTATCTGGACCAACAGAATCCTGAAATATATGTTTGATATTGTACATATTTGTTTATCATGCAACCACCTGATATCACTTGCCTTGTAATTATTTTGGATATTGAGTAGTATGCTGATATTCAAATGAATACCTGTCAATTTATAAGGACATCTTTCAATAGCTTACATTATAATTTTCTACCTATCAGCATTTGAATTCTTCAAATCTATACTCGCAATTTTCTTACCAAAATGTATCTATTATTTTCATGTTAATGACCAAGCAAATTATTTCTTTGAAGTTAAAAGCCCCTTTCCTCCAAAACTTAACATTTAAAAGAAGATGGCTTTTTAAAAAAAAGTAATAACATGATGAAAATTAAGCCAGGGCTAGCCACGCCCATTCAAGCCCATATCCGCCTAGACTGATACATTTGATATTCGACACAGAATTGTAAAAAAACTTTTAATTTTTTTTTCCAACGCCTAAAAAATCTAAAGGATTAAACTTACTAAATGTTTAATTACAAAATGCTTCACCTTATATTTTTCTATAAAATATGTAATATAAAGCATGTTTCATTGTTCATATGCTTTCTAATAAATCATTTGGGACATCAGCCTTCGCAATTATATCCTGAGCATTTGAACACAACTGTGGATTATTCTACAACACCAAAATCATATCTAATATCAAGATAATACAACTTACATCTAGACAAACTGTGGTCTGTTTCTCAACAATAATTGAACTTGCTGCTGTTTGCATCCTGGGCTGTTCCAAAGTCAAAGGAGTGGCTATGTGCTGATAATCTAAAATGAAATTACTTTTTTAATAACCCTTTTGTGAGCACTGAGAATTCAATAACTTTACAGTTTCATTTAGTCATACAATTTTAAGGTTGTAATAACACTATTTGCAAATCCTCATACGAAAATGTCACAAGTGAAATAACTTAACTATCCAAAGTTATTTTTAATAAAACAAAGTCTAGTGTATAATTAAAGGCATATAAACTCCTGCGCGCATATAATGCCTCAAAATTCAGTATTTCTTTAATTCTTAGGACTAAGTTCTAATAATGGATTTAGAGCATGGCAGATGCAGTGCTGAACAATATGTTATAAAGATAGTAACATGTAAACAAAGTTAGTACATTGTATATCAATCAATGTGAAAAAGTACCTTCAAACAAAGCCATTTCTTCAGCCTGTGTAAGAATCGAAACAATGGGTGGTACTGGCGCTGTTTTCCCAGACTGGTTGGGTTTCTGTACATCCTCCACCTCAAGAGTGGCAGTGGTGCAGAGCTCGCTGTCCAGATCATCCATGCATGTTGTGGCATCATCTATCTCATCAGGAAGATCTGGATGGATATCATCTGCATTCTCTAGAGCATCTATGAAGGATGTATACTCTAAAGACTTCCCAGTCTGGTGTAATAGGTAATCCAAGCCAATTAGTTCACCTTTAAAACAAGACAGACATGTAACACCCTTAATATAAATCATTGCAAGATACAAGTATTCATTATTCACATCCTTAAGTTACTGTTCTCATATTGTTAAAATTCATTACCACCTCTTTATACTTATCATATCAATTTTGCTTTTTCAAAGATGATATTGAATGAGCTAAATGCAATCACATTACGAGAGTGTCAGTCAAGCATAATATTGTTTCACTCAACTCAACAAGTTTATTAATTTTTGCACTGAATCTACATGAATATAGTATTCTATTTATCACACATCTGTAATAAAAAAGGTTAACAGTTAAAAACAGTCAATTTGCATTGACACACCAATGGTGCAAGGCATTATATCAACTTGTCATTCCACTAGTGAAATTATGTTTCCATTGGCTTTATTTCACTCCTGCTCTGCAGTTTATGTGACAACTATACAAATCATTGAAAATGGATTCACTGTTCACACTGATAACAAAAGAATTGTTTTGCTTTTTGCTCATTGACTGTCAAGGTTAAGTATGTTAATAAATATGACGACAAAACTTGGCAACAGCCAATCTTTCTTTTATCAGCAAACCTTATAAACAATAATCCTAATACAAATACAATAATGATAAAAGCTACCTGTATACTTTCGGGCACTTGTAACTGGATCTATGATTTTCCTTCCAAGCACTGCTTCACCCAGGCTGTTGGCAGTGTCTCTTAGAAGCTGGCTATAACTGTGCGGTGCAGCTTTCACAGCCAATGTGGCATCCGCTCTCCTGTTCTGGTTCCATCTGGAAAGACCCTCCACAAGGTAGGCTTGGTATAATACGTCATTAGCCAATGATCCTGAAGTATAAAGTTATATAATTTAATGGGTTTTGTTGCATTTACTATGGTTTGTATTATAACAGAAAAAATGCCAAATATGCCGAATCATATTACAAGATAGTTTCTATGTTTTATCAGAATTGCATCTATAGTATAAAACTTACTTTTCTTTTTTTGTTATTAACCCGTTATTTTATTTTTAATGACAAAGAATTTACACATTGAACTAACTTTACTCCTTATCAATTACAGTCAGCTATCTTTATCTCGTCATAGCTTTTCCCATTTTTTTCCAATCAAATTTAGGGAAGCCTTGATTTGATTCCTACCGTATCTTTATAGAATACATTTTGTTCATATCGACTTTCATATCTTGATTTCCGCAGCATCATGATATGAAATGTCACTGTCCAATCATTTTTTCCATACAATTATCCTTTGTATAACTCGCATTAAAGATTTCCATCTGATAGTTAAAATATCTGTTACTTGAAAAGATGACAAATAGACTTTTCAAAATTAATATCTTAAAAATTAAGCAGATAATAGCCTTAACAAAATGAAGATAAAAGGTATTGGCATGCCAGATCTAACAAAAATTCTGTTTCCAATTCCTTTGGCTTATGTGTATAACTCAACATTTCTTATTCAAGGGACTTGAAAATAACCAAAGACTTTGTATAAGCAAGTGTTATAATGATTTTTCTACATACCTGGGATAAATCTGTTCATGTGGAGGTGAAAACTCTCCAGAGACGTGGAACCTCTAGCACATCTATATGTTGGAAGCACAGTTGATCCTTTTCTCAATGATCCAGTTTTAATGTATAGCTGAACTCCTGGTGGGTCTTGAATACAGGGCAAATGCTTCTGTTGTTTTGCCCAAATGGTGTCCATCACCTGAACTTTAAGTAATGGAACACCAAGGGTATCCTTTGCATCTCTGTATCCATCCAAGAGTTTTGAAATAAGTTGTAGAGTGACATCCGCACCTCGAGTCGTACGTCTACAATGGAGAGCTAGCTCCTGCTTTTTGATGTGGTTCATTAAGTCGGCATCATCCCTTAAGTTCACATGATTCATCCGGAGTTCTTGCCGCTTGGCTTCCTTCAGAGCTTCCAGATCATCCTGATCCCACATGAAGATGCATCTACTGATTCCATTCATCAACGATCCATAAAGTGGATGTGAATCGGTAGAACACCCTCCTGACATTCTCCTCATAAAATGCCATATATCGAGACGGATTGGGATGTCCTTCCACTCATGAAAAAGTGTTCTAACTGGGGAGGAACCACAGCAGTCTCTGTCAACATAGAGGACCTCGGGGCAAACAACATCAGCATCCCTGTACCTTTTCATAATGCCATTGGCCATTAATCCAAGGCCATGACCTTCTCCTGCTGTCACCACTGACATGAGGACTTGCCCATACTCATTGCCAATGTTGCTTGCCCAAAGAGCTGTTCCACGAACTGGGCCAGCCAACTTCCCAACAATCTTTTTGGTGGAGTCCATCTTCAAAACTCGCCCAAACACAGATGTAACCTCTGCCTTGGTCTCCTCAAGACGAAACAAGACATCTTGAATGTATACCTGCATAAGCCAGCGAAATTGTGGCACTGGGAGCATGGTTGGTGGGTCCTGGCAGGTAAAGGCGGCAACAAGTCCACTTGAAGATGCTCTCTTCAGTGTCATACAGTCGGAGAGATATTGAGTTGTTTTTGACAGCCACTCTTCACTATGTCCCTCATGTAGCTTTTTCTGAATCTGTGACGAACTATTTCCCAGACCTCTTTCCCGTAGAAGTCGGACAACTTTCTTATCGCAAGCCTTCATTGAAGTAAGAATGCATGGAAACACTTGTTGCTTTGGAATGTCTAACTGACTAATAATATTGTGATTCCATGCAATCACTTTCCTTTTACAAGAAGGACACTGTAAATATTCTGACGCTAAAAGGTATATTGAGCTTATATCTACAACTCGTCTTAATTTGTTGTAAATACCAGACGCTGTCAGCTGGATGTCATGGCAGCTTTCGTGTGGGCATTTAAGTGAAACATGCCAAAGTTTGTGGGGCATCCAGAGGAAAAGTCGGTGGCCAAAGTACTGCTCCACTGATGGGCGACCTTGAACAAGGAATGGTGGCTCAGGTGGGTACCACCACATTTTCGTTACTCTTTCGAGAATCAAGTGGGCTCTCTCACCCCTTTTATCAGTAACTGTAGTGAAGAGAGCTTTGGAAATCCAGCGTACATCCTCCTCTGGAATACTATCTCTCCACTTGGCATAAATTGGGTACCGTGTGTCTGTAATAGAAATGGAATGAGATTATGCTCAACATTATATTCAACATAACAGAAAAATACTGTGGCATTATTCTAAAAAAAGTTACGATACTAATGTTGCTTTTAATCAGACTTTCCATGATGATATAAATTGATAAAAATATTTTCAATATAATATATAATATATATTTTTACTGCATAATCTCTTATCCGAGGTAATTAGATTCGAGATTGGTTTGGAGCAACATTGAGTGCATTCCAACTCTATCATAAAAATTGAAACTCAACATCTTAGTTATTTTAGAATATTCCCTTTTGCACAATAATTGGCTTCAGACAGTAAATGCAAGGCGTTCATTTTTCATAATGAATGACATTTTTTACATTCAAATTAATAGGAAAAACTCCATACCTAAGCTTGTAGTGGCACTTGAAGCTTGATCAGTACTTGTAGGTCTGGTTGAAGTACATGGACTTGTCTGTGGCATGGTTGTACATGGACTTGTCTGTGGCATGGTTGTACATGGACTTGTCTGTGGCATGGTTGTACATGGACTTGTCTGTGGCATGGTTGTACATGGACTTGTCTGTGGCATGGTTGTATATGGACTTGTCTGTGGCATGGTTGTATATGGACTTGTCTGTGGCATGGTTGTATATGGACTTGTCTGTGGCATGGTTGTACATGGATTTGTCTGTGGCATGGTTGTACATGGACTTGTCTGTGGCATGGTTGTATATGGACTTGTCTGTGGCATGGTTGTATATGGACTTGTCTGTGGCATGGTTGTATATGGACTTGTCTGTGCTGTAACTTCAGTTCTTAGCTCTGTTAAAACAAAATTCAGATTTACCACTAAAAATATATTCTTGCGTATCATATACAGTTTATTTGGTATCATTAAAGAGAATAGGATACTAATAAAAAGATTTAAGATTTCATATGATTATTATTGTCAATATAAAAGCTCCCCCTTTGTCAAATGTGTTTCAATGAATTATTGAAGTATTTAATAACGAAATGCAGCTATTTCTTTTTTATGTAGCTTAAACAGCACATTTGTCATCAAAAAAAGGGAATAGGATACCAATAAAGCATGTGGAGTGCAAATTAAAAGAATAAATAATTTCTTGACTTTCAAATATTGAAAAGAAACTTAAAAAAAGTTTCCTTTTTTATCTGTGTGTATCTGAATTCATGTGAACATTATTGTTAAAATAAGGGAGCTGTTGTAAATTTGAAGTCATTAAGGCGCAATACAGGCAGTGAGGCTTCAATTTAATTTCATATTTAGTTTAACATTGCCTATTACTATAACCCTTATACAAATTAATTTCTTAAATAGACTTCTGCAACTTTCAGCACAGACATAACCATTCATCACTTTTTAGTATGTATTTCCAAATACAAACTAACTGAATAGAAAACAGTTCAAATCCTGCTGAGACGACAAAGTTGTATAAAGTTATTGTCATATTTGTTTTATACTTTTCCATAATTCTAAAATATCTGATATATCATAAACCAAGACCAACATAAACAAAATAATAACTTCACATACTTTTTCCTGGTACAGGTGAAAACATCATTTGCCGAATTGACTCTTTCGGAGCACTTGAAGCAGCTCTCTTGCTCCATTTTGTCTTTGGTTTATCTGAAAAAAAAAAAGATATATATAAATTCAAGAGAAATTTCCAACAATATCATTCACAGAACCACTGAGCAAGATGTAATTCAGAAGGGAAAATTACGCCACGATCCATTTGAGTATCTTGAAAGGAAAGGATAAATTATTTTTTTATTAGTCAAACAGTCAGCACTATTAATTGACAAAACTTGAACATAAAATTGACATGATATTAACCATAACACAACACCAATTAAGTTTTAGTAATTTGACTGTAACTCCTTAATATAATGGCTCAAATTAAGGCCAGGAACGTGCGTTACTCTGGGACAATGCAATTAAATAATTTATGACAATTAGCAACAAGCAACCATAAAATTATTTACATTTCATTAGAATCCATGCTAGCTTTTAGTTTATGCATTCTTAAAGACACACAATAAATTTTGACTAAATTTAATCACTTTTTTAATATTCAAGACGATTTTATAATAATGGAAAAAATTAAGCAATCACAATCAAATGATGGTCATGTTTTGCAATGACTAGTTACACTTATACATCTACAAATATTCAAGAGTAGTAATAAGACTAAAGCTAATAATTTATCAATTAGGACAGACATCAACAAAAAAGTTTAAATAATATTATACAATTAAAAGCAATAAACAAAAAAGAACAGCAAATTGTTACTGAGAAATTTGCCATTTAGGTGGATGGATTAACTCATATACTTCCTGATAGGCCGAGTGTTATGCACTTTGTTCATAAAATTTCATTCCAATAGATGACAATTTGTACCTCAAGAAATTAAAAGTTAATACTTTGTGCTTTACCTGATGGTAGTGGATATTCTAAAGGTAAATCAGGTGAAGAAGTGGTTACTGTTGACAAAGATACATCTGTGGTAACTGAGGCCTCTACAACATCACTTTCCTTGAAGGTATCAACTCTCTCAGATGGGAGATTTTGACAGAATCCAGATGGGTGGAGTTCTGAAAAGTCTATAAATGTTTATATAACAGTCAAACAAGCATGGTATGCAGTTAAAGAGTTTCCTCTACTGGTTGGGGACCACCAAAACTGGACAACCACCAAACCCGGACGGCCCCAAAATGCTTAATTTAGTATTTTCTTTGTTCAGTGGTTGCGAGTCACTTTTTTATCAACAATAAATGCGTGTTTCTTCTAAAAATAAATAAATAAATTTATTTCAACCACCGTAAATGGTAATATTTTAATGGCTCTTTCAAGAATGTTGACCTTGAAATTTGGGGGTCAAGAAAACAATGCTTGACCTTATATACCAGCTATAATCATTTGCAGAGTAAATAATAGAATTTCCAAAACTTTAACATTTGTTGCTGAAATATTGTCTATCATGTTAAAGGGACTCCACTGAGGTTTTTTGACATGATGGGACTGAAAATATTTTTTCCAGATAAATGTACCATTTGATGAAGGTTTAAACCACTAATCTTTGTGCAAAATTTCAGATCATTTGCGCACTTCGTTTTATCAGAATAGTAATTTAAAATGTAAAAAAATGACCCAAAATGAAAAGCGTTTAAACGCTTTTCACTCAAATTTGGCTAAGAAAAGCATAAAAATATGATTTTAAATTTATTTCAAAGTATATTTCTGAACTATCTTTGCATATATTTCTGTTTAAAGTGCCCCAGCTCATTTATGTAATTTTTAGGCATTTAAACCTTAGTGGAGTCGCTTTAAAAATCAAAACACCCAAGCTTTTATCTGAATTATATCACGCCATGTACATTAATGTCCGGACACATGGTACTGTAGTGTAGACAATTGAGGTAATTTTGATACCTCCTTGTCGAGCCTCAGATATAAGTGTCAATAAAATCAGAAATAAACAAACTAGTTTGTTAGTTAGGAGAAGAACCTAGCTGAACCTTGTCAATTTTGTTGGTCTCTAGGTTAAAAATTATGAAATCTGTACAGAAAAGTGGTCAAAAAGTGTCCGGTTGATGGTCCCTGACCAGTATAGGAACAGGCAAACATAGTTTCATAATATTTAAGTAACTGTTTATGAGCATGTCACAATCTTATTGCATGAAGAATTTAGTGCTGAATGAGACATTATTTGTTACAAACTAGCAAAATGTAAACAAAATAGTAGTTTGACTATACAAAATACTTAATCACTTACATTGTACTGATTGCCAAAAGAACTCAACAGAAGCAACAGCTGAATCAGATATTTGGCTAATGATTAATTGTTTGGAAACTTAATCAGAACACTAAAAATAAAGAACTCTAGAAAAAGTGAAAAAAATGCATTTCTCTCCAAAAATGGGTCCTTAAGATCAATCCAAGTTTTGGATGCTTTGTAAATGCATGTACTAATTAAATCATGTTGAATTTTTTGTAGCAAATTTACAATTATATATTAAAAACATATCAACACAAAAATCACACTCACTGACAACATCAAGACTATGATATGAAAACTATATCAAAGGCAGACAATAAAAAAGCTCTGTAGATTCTATGCTCAAATGGTTAAATTCAGTATAATGCTTATATTATTATTTATTAAGATGTCAGACAGTTTATGTGGCCATTAACTTATATAACCCAAGCAGCTTGACAGAGAAGATTTGCATGAGAATAATGACTATAAGCTCTAAAGAAACTGAGAAATTTTAAACAAAAATAAGATGACATCAGTCATTCAACTCATGTGTGAACACTGCACAGTAATAAGTAATTCATATATAAAGTCAACATAGTGCTTTAGTTTTTTATGTAAGACATTTTAATTGAAAAGATATGGCAAAAACACAATAATAACTTTTATCACACACCCGTGCCGATTTTGCGGCTCCGTAAATATGGTATTGCACGGCCGTGCATATATTTTAACGTGACGTCATTAGCGTTATACAAACATAGTGTAAAGACGCGCTAAATGTTAGCGTTATACTATAGGCGCGTCATTGAAATATGACTCTTATTACACCATAAACGGTCTTTATTTTTGGTATGTGATAAATAGAATATTAAATTCGTGTAAGTTCATTACTGAATTTATTGCACTCGTTGAATAAAATAACAGAGGCTCGCATAATATATTTTTATTCAACTCGTGCAATAAATTCAGTATTGAACTTACACTCATTCAATATCCTCTATTTATGCACTAATGTAGATATACATTATTTGTGCACGCGTCAGATCAGTATATATAGCATCATACATTAAGTGTTGGGGCCAATCAAAATTCAAGAGATTAATATGCATTATTATAAGAAGCCATATAACCTGTCAGACATCATGATCAAATTAGAAACAAGAGCTGTCACAGGAGACAGCGAAGCTCGACTAATAAAATACTGGACGCAGTAAGGAGGACAAAACTATGAAAGAAAAATCAATTATGTATAATTATGTATTAAGTTATAGTAAAAAAATAACATTTGTTAACATAAATTCCAAGATCAAGGGGAATAATTATAGAAATAGTCATGCTAGAGTTATGGATCTTGCCACACAACATTTGTGTAATGATAAGAAATATATATTTGAAGTTTGAAGTAGATACCTTAAAAAGTAAAGAAGTTATTATATTTCTTAAAGAAAATCCTAAGTTCAAAGGGAGATAAATCTGTAAATATTGCTTCAAGAGTTATGAACATTGTCACATAAAATGTAATTAATGATAAGGAATAAGTATTTGAAGTTTGAGGTAGATACCTTTAAAAATAAAAAAGTTAAAATAAAAAATAACATTTTTCTAGTAAATAAATCTAAGTTTATGGGGAGATAATTCTTGCAATATTGGTGCTAGAGTTATGAACCTTGTCACATAAGATGTGGATGATGATCACGTAAATATATTTGAAGTATGAAGTTGATCCCTTTAGAAATAAATAAGTTACAGTAAAAAATAATATTTTTTATGGAAAATTCTAAGTTCAAAGGGAGATAAATCTGAAAATATTGGTGCTAGAGTTATGAACCTTGTCACATAAGATGGGGATGATGATAACGTAAATATATTTGAAGTATGAGGTCGATCCCTTAAGAAATAAAGAAGAAACAGTAAGAAATAGTATTTTTTGAGGAAAATTCTAAGTTCAAGGGGAGATAAATCTGAAAATATTGGTGCTAGAGTTATGAACCTTGTCACATAAGATGGGGATGATGATAAGGTACATATATTTGAAGTATGAGGTTGATCCCTTAAGAAATAAAGAAGTAACAGTAAAAAATAGTATTTTTTAAGGAAAATTCTAAGTTCAAGGGGAGATAAATCTAAAAATATTGGTGCTAGCGTTATGAACCTTGTCACATAAGATGTGGTTGATGATAAGGAACATATATTTGAAGTTTGAAGTTGATACCTTAAGAAATGACAAAGTTATAGTGAAAAATATTTTACTGCACCAAAACTTTAATCTAAAATCTGGACGCGGACGCGGACGCCGACGCCGACGCCGACGCCGGGGCGAGTAGGACAGCTCTCCATATACTTCGTATAGTCGAGCTAAAAAGCATTTTAACTTTATTTGAGGAAAACAAAAATAACTTCAAAAATAAGCATGTGTAATCTATATGTATTGTATGTCACTAATATCCAATGAAAAGAAACATTACAAACCAGCAATATATAGAAGATATTTGTTTGTTTCAGTGTAAGATCGAAAAATATTTCACCGAGTGAACACCAGATGCAATATTTTCCACGAGTGGCGTAGCCACGAGTGAAAATATAATAGCTGGGGTTCACGAGTGAAATATTATTTGATCTTACATGTAAAACAAACAAATTTTCTGTTTATTTCATGATTTTTTAACGATTTTTACACCATTTTACTGATTTTTGCCGCGTAACGTCATGCTCTTATCCTCATGACGTCATGAAATAATGACGTCACAATGTTGAAGCAAAATATAATTCCATGATTATTTTTAGATTTTAGATGTTTTTCAGCACAACGTTCGTAAATATTTACAAACTACAGTTATCACGTACATTTTTTATTATGATTGACTACAATTCCGCTGAAAAAAACATTCATTAATGATAAATATTTTATTTTTACGCCAAATATAGTTCGGCTACTGTGAAATTATATTTGGTAATCATTACTGTGAAATTATCAGAATATAATTAACCGTTATAATTCAGTAATCTACTGCAAAACATGTAATAATAAAATATAAACTATTTTATTAGAGAAAACTAAACTGACTTAAGCAAAGCATTAAATAAGAAGGTTGAGTGATTAAATACTTGAGGTACTGTCCAAAAGACATAAGAAATTGTAATAATCACTGTAGAAGCATTCTAGTTACTAGGAAAAGAAAAATGAAGTTGTCTTAGCAGAGCTCCAGAAAGCATGTATATCGGGTTAAAATATGCAGAGAAGAGTCCAAAAAGAATAAGTTTCAGATTTTTAGCATCAGTTATGCACAAAAAATGTAATTGCAAAATGCTTTTTACAAATATTAACTCTCAATCCAGATTTGAGGGGTAGAATCCTTTGGTCCTAAAAATTATCTGGAGGTCTGTGTCTATAGAAATATAAGGTAGAAACAAGGCGCAAGGATTGTCATAGTCCTTTATTTAATGTAAAGCACGCATGTGTGTGACCATTTGTTAACAGAAAATACAATGTAGCTTTTATTCCCTCAATTCCTCAGTTATCACATACATGTTTAACAATCATGGTGACTTGGTTAAGCTCTCAGACTGGCAACATATCAGGTAGGTTGGTAGTTTCTAACAGATACATTTATTTAACGAACAACACAATTGAAATGCAGACAAGAGTGATCTAGTAAAAAATTCAAGTTGGCAAGTATAAGCCGTGATAATGAAGAGCTAAAGGTGCATTTGAAACAACTGCATACACATTTGTATGTACTTGGTTAGATTTTTAAAGCCTGTATTTACAAACTACATACAGTATATACTAAAACTAAAACAAATATTATAACACGCTTTACATTATAACCCCTATCAGATAGAGCAATCAAGAACATTATTACACAATATATGCACCGCATAAAGGAATGCTTACACATCATATGCCTTTTTTTGGGGGGGCATTACGTAACATCAACACAGTATAGATCATATGGCGACATTCCAGCTTTACTGGTGGAGGAAGACCTCAGGTGCGTTTCTGTGCATTATTTCAGAACCACCGACGTTCCGTAAGCTAGCTGGATAGCTTCCTCACATGAAAGAATGCAAAGTCCCTGTCGGAATTCAAAGCCACAGTGGTGAGGGGCAAGTGGTTTGAAGTCAACTACCTTTACCACTTGCCCATGGACGATATCATATGATGTCAATAAACCAATTGACACCAGGAAATTTTTTCTACACTCAATGTAGTTCAACATATTTTCTATCATTTTTTTTGTTAGCATGTTAGAATTGAAATAGATATTAATTTTATTGTATCCTAGTTTAATAAAGCACAGTTTTTCGTTCAAATGCGTTGAAATAAATCACTCTGGCACATCGGCCTTCCTGATTATATTCCTACTTATCTGAACTTGAGCTGTGCATCATTTTACCTTCTAACACGACCCACAATTTTCCATTATGAACATAAACGAAGCAAAAGTTTGTATTATTATTCAATTAAATCAATGTTGACGTAACACAACATTCTGTATTTAGACATAACCATTAGATATGTGACCTAACCATCAAAACTTGGACGCGCTGAAAATAAGTACAGAAACAAATCAGGAGCTATTTAACTTGGTATAAGGTACCTCAGCATTTATTTGTTGATGTCGTGTTAGAATCAAAATAATATATACAAATCAATGATTTTATCATCCAAATCAATGATTTTATCGCTTGATAAAATTACATTTTGTTGTTTGGATGCTCATGATTTTATCACCAAGGCTATGACCTCGGGATATAATTCTTTGCATCTGAACTCCAGTGATTTTATTTGACGGAAAACTCCAGTAATTTTATATGACGGAAATCACTGTTTGGTATATATAATTTCGAAAAAACAATACACTCGGAATTGATATCTATTTCGTTAAAAATTCATCAACACATTTACTTCGCACAATATTCAGAACTCAAATGAATAAAAAACTGAAAAGCTTTTTCAGAGTTGTTTGTCCAGTGTATGAAACTAGTATCTAAAAACAGATTTGGGCTTATATGAACTTTTAATTTGAATAGCACAAGACCAAAACATCAATGAAATTATATCGAATTGAATGGCTTACAATGACTTGTCACCATTGATTGCCAGGCTCATTATTAGTTTCACACACTGACTGTAAGAAATGGTTATACATAAGCTTCTACCACAAATATAAGGCACCACCACACAAAAAATCTGATTACATTTCATACTTACCAATGCCAATCTTAAAAATAGTTGTTTCCTTTGCTTATTCTAAAGAACTATACAAATTTTGAAATATCCAGTATATGTACAGCTTTATTTTTAAAGATCGGATTAATAAAATGCTTTGTATAGAAGAACTTAAAGGAAACACACATTTCATTGGCTTCAGCTGTATCTCCTTCCAAAATACATAAAAGAAACAGCATGGTAAAAAATTGATTTATTTAAAATGCATGATTTAACTGATTAATTAGCAAATAAATGGAAGAAAATGTTCTAAATGATGATAGAACCTTGAAGCAATAATTTTAATATGTAAAAGATATGCTCGAGTACTCGAACACTCTGGTCCCTTCGGCAGAAATTTAGTGAATATCACACCTTTTCGGTCAAACACAAAAACATAACAAAAGTTGTAGGTCGAAATGTTCTAAATAAGTGACAGCAGGCGCCATATGTTTTTAACACCTTGTGATCTTGAGTAAAGGCAATTAAGTTTGAGTTTAGAAAATGATTGCCTAATCAAACTCAAGCATTTTCAATATGCATGAATATAGATTAACACATTGTACCGCTAATACTAATTTAAAAACATTGCGATAATAATTCTTAATATTTCAAAGAAATGACATATTCGACGGACTGATGTTCTAACAAACAATATTATTATTATATTGAAGTATTTATCATTTGACCGAAATAAATTGGAAAACATTAAGGTCTATGTTCTACATGATAATAGTTTAACCTTGGTTAGCTCGAACTACCGATCTCTGAAAACATATTTGCACAGACCCTCTGAGTTTGAGTGAACCAAGTTCGACTGTAGTTCTGTTATGAGGTGCATTCTCATCTCAAATTTGTCACTGTTGAGACACTTGATTTTTGTTATTGTTTTGGTTGATTTTGAGTCAGATTGTGGAGACTCAGCATTAATTCAGGCATGAGCAAGCACCTAAGTAGAGCCACCGACCTTCCATAAGCTAGCTGGATAGCTTCCTTACATGAAAGAATCAGAAGTTGTTGACATGATTAAAACCAATAGTGGTGAGAGGCAAGTGATTGAAAGTCAGTGACCTTAACCACTCTACAATGGATGCCCATTAATTCAGTTTATCAAACAAATTATATTGTACAGTACCTTCTGCATCATGTTCCATTTTTTCTACTATGTCCAACAACTCATGGTCATCAGTGTCTGACAGCTCATCTCTGACAACTGAAACACACAAAACTGACATTACTAAAAGACAACAATAATACTGATGTGTGCAGGCAAAATGGGTCATAAGCAGGTGTTGTAGCTTGGAAACGCCATCTGTTAAATATTATATGGATGTAAATGCTAGAGGTTTGATCTTAAGCAAGGACTTAAAATGAGGATAACTGATCTACTTGTACAGTTGATCAAGAGATTTAATGCATGCAGCACAAATCTACTGTGCCCCATTTCGTCCAAAAAATTATGCTAGTAAACACTTGATACTTGATAAGTATCACCACTAAAGGGCAAAATTAAGACCTAAATTTGCTTGTCTTGAGTTTCGCTTTTATCTAGAGCAACAATTAGGAAAGTGATAGTAGCGAAATTTGAACACGTGATAATAATCACCTCTAAAGGGTGATATTCATACTAAATTTTGCATGAATTAAATTTCACTACTTAGTCTCTCATGCGATAATTAGCGCCCTTCAACACTATTATTAGCGAAATTAAGATACGAAAAATAAGACATGTAAGATAATAATTATCAAAGAGATTGTATGTTTGCAATGTACCCAGTTTTTAGTTGACAAGTTGTTATATAATGTACAGGATGTACTCAGATCAAAATTTCGCAGATATTACTGCTGATTTAATGGCGTTCCATAAAAACATACTGCATGTCAGTGAACAATAGCCACTTATATAGAGAATAACATGCTACTGTCTTTTGATATCAATTTTATCAGGCAAGGCTAATATGAGCTAGAAAGGGCGAGGCTTGCTGAACCGTTTCTGTCCATTAATGATTAGCCGAGCCTGATAAAATTGATATCAAAAGACAGTAGCATGTTTTTCTATTTATCATGTAACACATAAAAATTGTCAAAATAACAAAAAAATCTACTTTTGAAATAGCGAATTTCGTAAAAAAGGGGATTTTTTTCCAAGAAATAATTCTTGAAAACTAATTCCTCTGTCCCTGAAACTTAGAATTTGTAAATTGCAGCCAGTTTTTCTTTCAACTCGGTTAAAAGATACAACAGAATGTAGGCCTAACACGATAAGATTCTTACCTTTAAACAATTCAATCCAAAATCCCTAAGAATTACATAAGTGTCATAAACTTTACTGCACTTTTTGTCTTGAATAATATTGTCAAATTCAAAAGTTCACGAAAATTTTAAATCAAGTAAAAGTCAAATAGGCAATCTACTCAAGCTACTCAAACATTCAACTTATTTTTTAAACGAAACAATTTGTTCACTTATCAAATATTTACAAGTTCTCAAAGAAAATTGTCAAGCCTGTTTGTTATGATTACATGTATAGTATGACGTGAACATTGATGATGTCATTTGCATTATAAATTATGACGTCACTTCATTTAGTTGGTGCTAAAACTATTCGCTATCTAATTTATTCGTAATTGAAATAATAAATAAATAAATAAATAAATAAATGAATAAATAAATAAATATCGCATCTTGATTCAAAACTTGTAAGGGTATGAGATTACATTGTAAAATTCACATGCTGATGAAAATGAGAATACAAGCAATTGAAAAAAGTCAGTTGAAATGGGCGGGGCTTATTTTTGATCATTCGGAGCTGCCTCGGCTATTATCTATAATATTAACCTCGGAAACAATACGGATTAAAATTATTTCTACCACGTGGTTCCAGATGTAAACAGAAACAGAGATAATGTATATATTTGACATCTAATGTCTGTTCCGGTACTCTTATAAAATACTTGAAAATATGTCTGACAACAATCTGTTATTTAAATATGCCCACTGATGTTCAATTTTAAACAAAACCCACTAAATGTCAACAGGTTGGCTTTTTGTACTTAACTTTCAGTTTCTACAACCATAAAAATAAATATTAAATAATGTATTGTTTGCATTTGTACCTATGAATTCACTTATTTTAGGTGGACTTTTACAACATGTATTGGAAATAAACTTGTGAACAACTCCAAGCATTAAAATACTATTTGTTTACATGTTTAGTTTCTTAGCATAGGTTAGACCGAAATACCTCATCCGTTCTGTGTATTCATACTATTGTATACGAGGTCCTTATCCGAAGGTTGACGGAAAGGGCCGAGTAGTTGCGATAGATTTTTGATATCAGGTTACTGACCTGATATCAAAAATAATTATCAGGCAAGTGTTATTGGGCAGTAACCATAGCAGTTGCATAATAAATCTGTATATCATTCATCAACAACAGTTGAAATAATGTTTAAAAGTCAATAAATATAACTGATCTATCAATTGAGACAAAACTTATCATATACTGATATAAAATCTTTTAAAATGTATTTTATGTAAATAAATTGTAAAGAATTTTGCCATCTAAAATAATGGTGCAAAATTTACATTCTAAAATCAAAATTGTCTAATGATGTAAAAAGGACATTACTTGCAAGAAAGGTACAGCCAATGAAGAATGATCAGAATGAGCATAAACTTTAATGTAATAAATATAATAAGGACAGTTTCCAAAATCTAACATCATGTATTGATTATCATCTTGAATTTGAGCAAGTATTTAATTGAAAAATAATGTATTCAAACAGACCTTTAGCTGGAATTGTTGTGATTCTTTCCTTTCTCTTCATCACAACAGCTTCTTCTCCCTCAGGAAAGAGTTTCAAATATTTTTGTAATGCCATCTTGTTTAACCATCGTGCATCTTCACTGGGTTTGTCCTTTTCCAGACTGACTACCAAGTAGGCTGCATAGCCAAGGGCATTTGAGAGAAGCCATTGAAATGTTGTGTTCCTGAAATATTAGTTTATATATTTAATCAAAAAATTAAATCAGTATTTAATCAAAAATTTAAATGACATTGATTGCAAACAGATTTGAATGATAAATTGTTATTTAGGGCATTATTTAAGCAAATTTCACACGCTGAAGAATTAAAGTAAACACGGTTGGTTTAAACATATTTATTCAAGCTCGACTGCGAAACAAGTTCTTGCGACTTATATTAATCACTTTTGAGTCTGCTTCCTGGAACCAACCAGTACTGGTGTCATATGAAGAAACATGGTCGTGACCCTTGTAGCGCTCAAACCAATAATCTCTGGGTTGAGAGGCAGACACCTTAACCACTAGGGCACCACTCCCCTTAAACATTGTTTAAGATGCGTGACAGGTTATATGGTCCAGTATAAAAATTTGTAGGCATACTGGTTGGGGACCACCAAAACTGGACAACCACCAAACCAGGACGGCCCCAAAAAAGCTTCATTTAGTATTTTCTTTGTTCAGTGGTTGTCACTCACTTTTTTATCAACAATAAGTGCATGTTTCTTTTAAAATTAAGTAAATAAATTTATTTCAACCTCCGTAAATGGTAATATTTAAATGTCTATTTCAAGAATGTTGACGTTGAAATTGGGGGGTCAAGAAAGCAATGCCTGACCTCATATACCAGCTATAATCATTTGCAGAGTGAATAAAAGAATATCCAAAACTTCAGCATTTGTTGCTGACATATTATATATCATGTTACAAATAAAAAATCTAAACACCCAAGCTTTTATCTGAATTAAATCACATTGTGTTCATATCTGTCGGGACACATGGTACTGTAGTGTAGACAATTTAGGTAATTTTGATACCTTCCTTGTCGAGCCTCAGATATAAGTGTCAATACAATCAGAAATAAACAAACTTGTTTGTTAGTTAGGAGAAGTACCTAGCTGAACCTTGTCAAATTGTTTGGTCTCTATGTTAAAAATCAAGAAATCTGTACGGAAAAATGCTCCAAAAGTGTCCGGTTGATGGTCTCCGACCAGTATATTTTAACAGAAGCCACTTTAACACTTTCGCTGCCAGAGGGTTATTGTTTTATTGATCACCTATTTGCCAGAGGGTTTTTTAAGAAATTATTATATAATTAATTAATATAATTATAATTATTTGTTATAAGTATCATAATAATTATATATGTTTCCAAATCTGTCAGTATAATGATAATTATTGTCGATGGTACATTTTTTAAAATTTATTATTATTTGTATTATTATTATTATTAATTTATTATTATTATCATTATTATTATAGAAACGGCTAAAGCCGTCCATATGGCAAATACGCCGAAAATAACAGGGACGGCTTAAGCCGTCCCTATGGCAGTGAAAGAATTAAATACTAGTATTACATTACATTCTAAGTTACGTCTCTTTATACCATGTACAGTAGAAGGTGGGATACACTTTTAATAAAAACAAACCTAAATCGGCCAAACTGTAAGGTGAACTGCCCCAACAGATGCTTTCTATTGTCAATATCGCCATTCTTCTTCAGCACAGCTTTTACAGCAATTTCCCTCACTTTTGCTGCAGGCAGTGCTTTCTCATAATGTTTTTGTCTTTGTTCGCTAAGAACAGCACGGGCCTCATCAGTGTCTGCTAGGAGAAGAGCTCCATTTCTTTTTCGCCGAAACACTGGCTCCATCCTCACTCTGTGGAATTTTACAATTAAAATGCAAAAATAATCTACCTCACATATATATCAATAAGGGTCATTAATGCAATGTTTATCTAGTTTCAAATACCCCAAAATATTCCATCCATCCATGTCTATTCTAGGATTCATGCTTATTTTTCAAAGAATGCACATATTTTGGACACATGGGCGTGAAAACCACACTAAAGCAAGGTTATTTTGTGAACATAAAATAATTATTTCAATGAAATGGTTAAGGCGGACAACTTCTGTTGCCGTTAATAAATAAATATTTTCCTTCAAAGAAAATCATCGGTTGAATACTTTGATTTATCACACATCTGTGCCGATTTTGCGACTCAGTAAAATGGTATTGCACGGCCGTGCATATATTTTGTTGTGACGTCATTAGCGTCATACAAACATAGTGTAAAGACGCGCTAAATGTTAGCGTTATACTATAGGAGCGTCAATGAGAAATGACTCTTATTTCACTTGAAACGGTCTTTATTATGGGTATGTGATAAATAAAATATTAAATTCGTGCAAGTTCTAAATTTATTACACTAAAATAATGCGATGCTCACCAGAGGCTCACATAATATAATTTTATTCAACTTGCGCAATAAATTCAGTATTGAACTAACACTCTGACATTCAATATCCTCTTTGTATAAAATTGATGCTGCCAGAAGTGCAAACTACAGACAAATAATTTCATAAGTCACATTATTTTTTGTCAGTCTAAACAGTCATTATTTTTGGTATGTGATAAAAAGAATATTAAATTTGTATTAGTTCAATACTGAATTTATTGAACAAGTGAATAAATTAATACTTTGCTTACCACAGGCTCACATAATATTAATAAAATCTGTCATATGTTACTTTCAGATCGGAATATCCATCACGAGGGTATCCGTGTGGGTATCAATGGGACAGATATTTCGATTTGAACAGCAAACCTATTTCAGATATTTTTCCTTGCATATTCTGCTATATATATTCTTTCATATCTAAAATGGTTTACCTCAATTAGATATTTATTATTAGTTAATGGAAATTAATGTCATTTCATCCATAAATATTTTATTAGAATAGCATATGAATTTACAACTTTAATAACAACTGCAAAATGATGTCATCCTTAGCACTTAGTTTCCTTCTAAAAATGCACCAAAATAATCTCATTTTAACGAAGTTCATTCATATAATGCGGTAAAATGACATTGTTGTATGGCACATAACTCATCTGGCACTCTGATACTAGATGAAATTTTTGGCATGGATAAACCTAGCGAAAACGCAGGTTTGATATGCAAGAATATTTTATTCAACTAATTTAATAAATTCAGTATTTAACTTACACTCATTCAATATCCTATTGGTATTAATTTAATAGATAATAATTTAAGAAAATAAATTTGATTCTGTTCAAGGGAGCATACATCATAAATCCATCAAATCTGCCTTCCCAGACATAGTTAAATGTGAATGCTCAAATTAGACCAAATATTAGTATGTTTAGATTAAAGCTGAAATGATTACCTGCTTGGCAAGCTTGCCTTCAATTCTGTAATTTCTGTGTTCTAGACAAGATCTGGGTTCTGGCAGGTAGACTGTTGAAATATCTTTGTCTGAATAAAAAAATAAAATATCAAATCCTATTAATAAACTTCACAAACTTTTCCCACTGTATTTTATTATATTATCATTTCTGGCCTTAGACTTAAAGCAGCACGCCTCCAGATTCATCCTAATTTTCATGAAAATTTTGAAAATGTTTTCAAAAGTAAGAAATTGTGAAATGAACAAAGAATGTAATTGACACATTGTAATCGGTACTTATAATCAACGTAAATTACCAAATAAGAGGTCAAAATATGCAAAAAAAAGCCCCTACTGCCCTAGTAACGCAGTAGAAATTTGGTGATAAATATTGCCGTAAACAGTCATTAATACACATAATATATAAATTATCACCGGAATCTTTAATCTGTTTACTTCTTATTACTGTGAAAAGTTGGTAGCCCGAGGAGAAATTTAGTAGTCAGGGGCTATCGGACTACAGCTAATTTCGAACACTGTAAGTGGTACCGAATAACGGACACATTCACAATCACAAACAGACTTTAACAATTTTCAGACTGGGTACGAGGGACCTGTTCACAATTCTGATTCATTAAGCCTTTGATAACGTATTATTTCCTCTCTTCGCATAATGATGCTAAAATTTTGCCTGTTGTGCTTTGTTTATCTTAAAATGTGTTTAGCCGACCATGATAACAGGTGCAATCGCCCTTTTAATTTTCGTACTGTTCAAATACGAAACTTCTAGGGACGAATCAATACCGAAACAAGCGTCTGGTAATTTCTGTAAACATCATTTAACATGTCTCGTGACTGTAAATCATACTACATTAAAAAAATTATGTTTTTACTGCTTAATAAGATATTCACAATCTTAAGTACAACAAATTCACAATTTTCAGAGTACCGGACCCATTCATAAATCAGGAAAAAAATCCCTTTAACAGTAATTTTACAATTTCTACAAACTGCATCTTTTATTACTATTTTAACTTATCTATTACACTTCCCTGCTTTTTCAGGCCTTAAAACTTCCAAGTAATCCATTTTCCTTTCTTGTTCTCAACACCCTCAAACTTAGCAGCAGACATTTTCATATGACATCAGTTGTTTAGACTAATTTATTTACCGTTAACCGAAATAGGCAACCAAAAAGAGAAACCGACTCAAAGACAAGAGGACTTCTCAGGTAATCTGGGGGTATACTTTGAGTTTTTACCTTTTAATAATTTTAAATATTTTTCTATCAGACAAAGGGGCATGTATTTTTCTAATTCAATCATTACAAATTTTAAATTTAAAAGCAGGGTTCATTTTAATTTTTAAAAGTGCGGGTTATTCTATTTTTTTTCCGCAGTTTTTACCATCCCATTTTTTTGATTACATTTTTTTTCAACTTAAATAGTATTGAATTTGTATTTTGTTATTGTCTTTTCTATATAAATTATAATATAGTTTTCAGATAATGACTACCATACCGGTATATACTGGTTTTTCAAAATCATAATGTAAATGGCAAATTATCTATAACAAAAATATATATGGCAATAACCGGTAGCAGTTTACATCACCAACCCCTAATATTTACAGAATATCCATGGGTTTACTCAGGCGCCAATTTATGTTTGAAATAATGCACAGAAGGGTACCAGATGACTTTGTTTGTTTGTTTGTTTTGGGTTTTACGTCGCATCGACACAGTATAGGTCATATCGCGACGCTCCATCCAGCTTTACTGGTGGAGGAAGACCTCAGGTGCCCTTCCGTGCATTATTTCAGGCACGAACGGGTCCCTGATTAGAACCACCGACGTTCCGTAAGCTAGCTGGATAGCTTCCTCACATGAAAGAATCCAAAGTCCCTGTCGGGATACGAACCCACAGAGGTGAGGGGCAAGTGGTTTGAAGTCAACGACCTTAACCACTCGGCCACGGACGCCCCTACCAGATGACTTCCTCCACCAGAAAAGCTGGAAAGTCGCAATATATTGTGTAGTGCATTGTAAAACCAACCAAAAAACAACAACAGTAACCACCGATAAGTACATTAGTATCCACATTGGTCGTCATATGTAAGAGTACTAGTTTGAAACAATATATTTTCTAATGATCCAAGCGTTTTATGTTGAAGAAATTTGGCAGATGCATTTAAATAACTTAGATGTTTAAAAATTTGCAAATGTTATCATCCTTAAGTTAACATTTGTGGAGAATTTCTGTACATACACTGTAAGGCCTAAGGGTGTATGACAAAGGCGAATTTGGAAGGGGAGGGGGGCGGGAGCTGGCGGCATCCAACGATAGCCTGTATATCAAACGCATTCGGTCAGGTAAACTAGACTTAACAAATAAAGTGTAACAAATAACAGCATAATCTTATCAAAATTCATGGAACAAACATATATATCTATCGCAGCGAGTCGAACGTTGTTTTTTTTTCCGAATGAAAATTCATCGGCGTTCACAAGAAAATAGCGCAATGTAATGATATAACAAACAAAAAATGTACAAAATAGTTACCTTAACACTATGTCAAACTATATATTCTTCAAATATTTAATAGAAATCATCAAATGTAATAGAAATATACGAAAAATGAATTCATCTCATCCTCAGCAGCAGTATCAAAAATGGCGACCATCACTATTAATTTTCGATAGAATCCTATCATCTGATTGGTCAATTTTCGATAACATTTCTATCAAGATTCCTATCATCTTATTGGTCAATTTTCGATAACATTTCTATACATTTCTATACATCCTCGTTACTCTATTGGTTGAAATCTATCGAAATCTATCGAAATATTGTGAGTCCAGTGAGTAATTTTTAGCGCTAGCCGGGCGCTTGCTTACGATGGTAAAATAATTTTAATCTGTACATAATTTTACAAAACCGAAAAGTTTTTTTTAAATACTGTCACAGTTTGTTTGTTTTCTAAAATATTTTAGATAATATTGATTTTGTCTTGCATTCGATAAGCCTAAATAACTTAAGATGAGAACATACAACCACGCGGTAACATATCAATAAAGTTCTATTTTTAAACGTCATAATAATTATTTGTGACAATCACTCAATATGATTTGGCGTTAGAGTACCAAATTTGAAATAAAACGGGTCTTGATCATTTTGAGACTATATTTCCCATCAATTACTTCATATATTTTGTTAATATTGAAACTATTTTAAGTAACATTTTTTTACCTGTGAAACGTTAAATTTTTCATACCTGACTGACCTTGGTCTGAAATAAATCGCGATGAGCTGTACACTGTAGTGGGGTCAAAGTAATGTCAGAGTCTAAATTGGTAATGTTCAGAAGATTGATTTAAACGATCAGGCAGACGATACAAAAGTAGCTTAAGTATGAAACAGAGTGCAGAAAAAAGCCTCATTCTCTATTAAAATGAATGACCTTAATTTTCTTAAACGAGAATTAGGCCTATATATAAACAATGAAAACAAACTATCTAAAAATAGCAGCAATTATTAGTTTCGTTGACAGAAGAAATGATTCACCACGAGGGTCAGAAAAAGTACAATAAAATAAAAAGAAAACCTCATTCATATATGGTGAGAGGTTTTATTTCTTCATGTATTATTCTTGTTTTTTGTTGTGTGTGGGGTTTTTTTTTTGTTATTTTTTTTATCTTTCTGTCCCAGATAAATTCAATAATTAAAGATAACATTCTCAAAACTTTAAATAATATAAAGGTTTGTTCAATAGATTTATTTTCTTTGTCATCGTGCAAAACAAAATACAGAACAGAACAGATACTTTATTTTTGACTTGTACAATCATACATCGTCATACATATATCAACAATTTTACAATACATACTAACATAAATCACAAGATCGGATCTAAACATGTCTCTTTCATATCATTATATATAGAGGATGAATTATTAATATATTAAGTTGTATCTACTATATCTAAGTTATTTCTATGAGACATCGCATCTCGTACATACAAGGATAAATTTAAAAGTATACTTCTATTGTTTGATTTTAACATATCAGTGAATTTAAGCATACTAGGTCTTATATAATAGTATCTTTTTATATATTTTTGTCTTATATCAATATAACAAGGACAAATTAGAATGAAATGGTATTCATGTTCGACGTCATGTAGATTACAATATAAACAATATCTTTCATTTCTAACAATTCTATTTCTATGAAACCTTCCAGTTTGCAAATGTAATGAATGCGAAGATATTCTAATTCTTGTAAGATACTTCCTTAAAGTACTTGGTATTATATCAAGATAATTTTCATATACAAAAGAACCTTTAACATGATTATACAGATACAAAACAGGTTGCTCTCTTTACCAAAAAAACAAGCGAAACAATCAATTACCCTTTGCTTAAATATTGGTAAAAATATGTTACTATTTACAGAATCCAGAAAATCCCAAATATCACTAAAACCATGATTACATAATAACAATTTAAGATTTGATAACCAATTTTTCTTACCATTATTACAGTCTTCAAGAGCAATGTTATATACATTTTTAAGAATGATATTATCTGTCTGAAGCATTTTAAACCAAAATCTTAACATATCTTGAAATATATAAAGGATAACGTGCTAGTTCACCATACACAACAACATTACATGAATTAATTTTTACATTTAATATATTTTTACAAAATTTAAGATGAAGTCTTTCAATTTCCTTTAATTTAGAAAAAAAAACAGATTTCAGCAACGTAATTAAAAATCGAACCAACAAAAGAGTCAAAAAGCTGACATAACACTTTAGGTTTTAACTGATATCTATTACAATTAATCAGTAGTACATTTAGAGCTTCATGAGCTTTATCAATCAAATGTTCTTGATTTAAACTAAAACTACCAGTATAAGTAAATATTGTTCCTAAGTAATTGAAGCTATCGACAATATCTAAATGGTTCCCTTCGTAATAAAATAATTCATTGTTTTTTAAACCTCGACGTTTTCTGAAAACAACAACTTTGGTTTTATCGATATTTATTTCTAAGCTCCATTTTTTACAAAAAAAAAAGTTTTATCATTTAATAACGTCACACTTCGATTTATATCATCTGGTGTATCTCCTAAAATGACTAACGTTATATCATCAACGACAAAACAATATCGTTTAAAGTCAAACCACTATTTACATCCCTTTGTAAAAATAATTCAAAGTCATCTATAAGCAGCAGTCCATAATATTCAAACATTCATGGGAAGATTCGCTTATAATTAATGTCCACATGCGTTCGACACATTTGCCATTCCGGAGTAGTTCTCTGCAACTACTGGCTGGAATTCAACAAAACTTTATGGGAATCATCAATATCAAGAGGAGATGCGCATATCGTCAGCTTGTTCCGGTCAGACCCTTTAACTCAGAGTTATGGCCCTTGATTAGTTATGTAGTATGCATATGGAGTAAAAATCGTTTCCGGAGTAGTTCTCTGCAACTGCTGGCTGGAATTCAACGAAACTTTATGGGAACCTTCAATACCAAGAGGAGATGCGCATATCGTCGGCTTTTTCTGGTCAGACACTTTAACCCAGAGTTATGGCCCTTGATTAGTTATGCAGTATGCATATGGAGTAAAAATCGTTTCCGCGCTACTTTTCTGCAACTACTGGCTGGAATTCAACGAAACTTTATGGGAATCTTCAATACCAAGAGGAGATGCGCATATCGTTGCCTTGTTCCGGTCAGACACTTTAACTCAGAGTTATGGCCCATGATTAGTTATGCAGTATGCATATAGAGAAAAAATCATTTCCGCACTTCTTTTCTGCAACTACTGGCTGGAATTCAATGAAACTTTATGGGAACCTTCAATACCAAGAGGAGATGCGCATATTGTCGCCTTGTTCCGGTCAGACACTCTAACTCAGAGTTATGGCCCTTGATTAGTTATGCAGTATTCATATAGAGAAAAAATCGTTACCGCACTACTTCTCTGCAACTACTGGCTGGAATTCAATGAAACTTTATGGGAACCTTCAATACCTAGAGAAGATGCGCATATCATTGCCTTGTTGGGGTCAGACACTTTAACTCAGAGTTATGGCCCTTGATTAGTTATGCAGTATTCATATAGAAAAATATTCGTTTCCTCATTACTTCTCTGTAACTACTGGCTGGAATTCGATGAAATGAAACTTTATTTGAACCTTCAATACGAAGAGGACATGCGCATATATTGTCGCCTTGTTCGGGTCAGACATTTTAATTTAGAGTTATGACCCTTGATAACTTAGACAGTATACAACCAGAGCAATAATCGTTTCCGTGCTACTTCTCTGCTACTACTGGCTGGAATTCAATGAAACTTTATGGGATACTAAGAGGAGATGTGCATATATAGTCGCCTTGTTCCGGTCAGATACTTATAACTCAGATTTATGGCCCTTGATTAGTTATGTAGTATGCATACATCTCATTGGCATTTCCAGATATTACTATTTAACACAAAGTTATGGCTCTGTTATTTCCCTGAATATTTATCAGGTTCAAAGAATATTACTGTTTATGCCATGATTATTATATAAATAAAGCCTTATGTCTTCAGTTGTTGTGTTAATAATAACCAGTACTCGGCGGGGGATATAAATTCAACGAATTTGCTTGTTAATATAACATTCACCTTGCATTTTCTGACATCTGACAAATGACTGCACTTTCGGGTCATAAAAAGTAAATCAGTGAAAATGAATTTTAGTGATATCTAGTTATATCTTGTATTTAATGCCAATAATACATGAATCAAACAGTCAAAACCAAGACAACAGTGAATGTTATATTAATTAGGACGACACTATACTTGCGTTTCCCGGGAGGATTTTCCTGTGATAGACCAAGCAATTCCTCTAAGAATTTCGATTTTAATCAGATTGAAATGTGTGTGCCATGCAATCGCTACAATTTAATTATCGACACAATGCTGGTTCATGGGTAAAGGTTAAATGGCTTGTTATCTAATGTTTTATTACACCCAATATTTAGATACAAAAACACTTCTATATCTTACTTTATGGCATCCTATGAAACAAATAATTGAATATAAAAATGATTTATTGCAAATAACAGCGAACCGTTTTATATAACAAATTAAAATAAATTATTGTTGGTACCTGTACGAAATTTTACTCCTGTATTTTTGCCTAAAATACACCTGTTTTTCTGTTAAAAATTACAGCTGTATTTTCCTTCAGTTTTGATAAACATATAGCAAATTACACCTGTTTTTCTCAAAAATACACCTGTTTTACACCTGTACTATGAACGAAATATATAAATTAACCGTATTTTTCTATGGGTCCAAAATACAGTTGTACTGTTTTACAGCTGTTTAAAATACAGGTGTAAAATTTTACAGGTCTAAAAATACAGGTGTATAATTTTTTCAGCTCAAAAATACAGGTGTAAAATTTTACAGGTCAAAAATACAGGTGTCCTTATTGTTTAAGGGATGAAAACCACACATAAATGCAGACATATTTGGCATGTTTGGTGCAAATATCTTTTTCATTTGGATAAATGTATACACTTTGGTCAGAAATTTTGTGCATTTGTTGCTACACAATCTTTAAAAATAAGAAATGGTTGAGGAGAAAATATCTTTTTACAAGATTTAGGTACAAATAACAGACATTATACAATCACAATAGTTCACAATGGCACTCTGTGCTAAGGTGAGCGGAAATATCACTGAACTAGAATATCACTGAACTAGAATCACTATCACTAAATATGGGGATAAATATAACCAATTTTCATTTTGTTTTGAATAGATTCTATACTTTATTACATTCTGTTACAGTCTTACACTATTGATACTGCATCAATAAAATCCAAGTCATGAATAACACTGCAGGCATCCTTTCATTTGAAGAAAAATTCACAAATGCTAAAAAAGTTTTTTTTTCTTGTCAAAATTTATCATTACAACTTTTTGTAATTTTCACTGAGGCACAGCCAGTATTTGCCAAACTAATGTCTACATAATATAGGTACTTGGAATGAAGCCTTTGCAAGTGTTTCCTCTTCTTAACTGGTCCCTACCATTGTGATTTAAGATCCTGTTTAAAGCCACTTCACCTGAATCAAATAAAACATCAATAGTTTAACATTAAATGAAAACTAAATGATGATCATACATATACTTTCAATGCTTGCATTTTGTACTATAGTATGTCATCATTGCACATATTCAGTGCCTGACCAATTCATTTTCTTAAATACGTACCAATTAACTTCAACCTATATATATTTTGACAATTAATGAATACATGTATTAATTTTCCTACTTAATGCATTGCTTAATAAAAAGTATTTACTGAGCTGTTTCTATAAGTGGTAAAGGTAACTTAACTGTAATAATTAAAGTGCAACTTACAAAGAGACTTATTTTGTTTAACCATGAATTTCTGTCATGTTTCAACTATAATTTTGTTTTACCCTGTCTGTTTTACTCATTAGCTTTGTTTCATGTGGGAACTTCTTCGGGGTGTGTACTGTGACCTTTAAGAACAAAATTCATAGTACATTATAAAAGATATGGAAATAAATTATGACCTATTAATTAATAGAAGTTAAGTATAAATGTATTTAATATCATCTCTTCAAGGCTGTATTCAAAAATATAAAGCAGTTAACAGTCAATATTGTAGTATCTATAATTAAATGCTATTGGTGCCAAATTTTACATTTAAAAATTATTTTCCAACTGGGTAAATAGAATGTAAAAATTTTTTTTTCAGAATAAAGTTGATAAAAATATTTGCTAGCAGACCTGAAATACTTGTTTTTTGCATAAATGTATCCAAAAGTTATTACCTGATTTTTTTATGATTTTTTTCTGGTTTTCATCTTTTTGTCCAAGGTTCAAATTTCATTCACAACCTTGAGCATATCCCATAATCCAGAATATTGTCATTTTCATTAACAAGACTGTAGTCTTGATTTTTTTCTTTGAAAAGTTAAAGAATTTACACCCAAACATTTTAAACAAAATATTTTACCTCGAAAATTGCTTATATCTCCACAATTTCTTAATTATCAATAAGATCCTTTGTGATACATAAGCACTATTTCCACAAATGCCTCAGATTTCAAATTTTACAACTGACTGATTCATCATGCATAATGTTTAACAGGGATATTCCACAAATCAAAGCACCCATCATTTTACTTTCACAATCATATAGACATATGAGAAAATAAATGTATAATGTAGAATTTCAAATTCATAATAAGTTTTTAAAGATAACTTTGCAATGTCCTTCTAAACAGACTTCATTTAAAATCTATAAAGTTGTTTCCCCCCAAAATTATCAAATGGAAGAGTCTGGACTATAGCAGAATTTATGGTGGGAAAACAGGTGGTTACCATTATCAGACTGGTCAGTGCATGGTGTAAAATCGGTCAGTTGTGTAAAATCATTGTAGAGTAGTAGAGACAGTGTTTATTTATTTATCCAACTTATAAGAAATTATCAACAGGTCATTTATATTACAAACTAGATTGAGAGAGCTTAATGTATGAGTTTATTTCATACACAATTAACTTCACAGAGTGAAGAACAACTCATAATGTTTGGAAATTTGGAATCTTGAAAATGAACATGTACCAGTTTGTTGTTGTTTTTTTTTGTTGTTGTTCTTTTTATACTTAAAAGAACAACAAGTACAGGCCTATGTGAACTATCTCATATATTTTAAAACTAAATAATCATATACAATGTACATTTATATTCAATTTAGAAAGCATTCTTAGTTCAAAGTTGATTACATTATAAATGGTAAATAATGTGCATGCAATCTGTACAATTGCATCAAAGATATTAAAGTATTTAAATAAGAACAATTTCTCTAAAAGATTTTCTAAGGGTGTATTGTACATCTGTATCATTGAAAATACAGTTGTAGTTTTGGACTTAGATTATTTTCAGCACAAATTATCAGCTCAATATTTTCTAAGTATCAGAATTACATGTGTACATCTAAAACTTGGGTCTTGTCTCAAAAATACACTTGTAAAATTGTTAAAATACACCTGGAATTCCTAGTCAAATTGTCAGATTCAGCAAACACAGGTCCCTAAGACCTGTATTTTTGGAAAAAAACAGGTGTTTTTCAGTCGTCTTACAGTTTATACAGTTTGTACAGTTTTTTTCGTATGGGTATTATTGGCATTACCTACAAGATATAACTAAAATTCATTTTCATTGATTTACTTTTTATGACCCGGAAGTGCAGTCATTTGTCAGATGTCAGAAAATGCAAGGTTCAGACCCTAAAGATATTTTGCATAAGACATTGTCTGATAGACCTCTACCAAGATAGTTCAAATTATAGCCCTGGGTCAAAATTGGCCCCATCCTGGAAGTCTGTACATATAGTATAAACTTAAAAATCTTCTTGCCTGAAGGTATAAGGCTTAGAGCTTTGATAGTTGGTTTATGATTTCCAGGATATTTATATTGAAGTAGTAGCCACTAGTGTTGGCCTTGCTACCAGAGGGGGGGGATGGGTAGTACCCGGGGGTCATAGACTTTCATTATGTACAGAAACTAAAACAAATGTTTTCTGAATAGGAGAAAGCTACAGCTTAGATATTTTACATGAGACATTGTCTGGTCAACCTGTATCAAGATTGTTTTAATTAAACCCTTGGATCAAAAGTTTTCCCTGCCCAAGGGGACAGTGACTTTCTTTCTTGTCCTTTGATGTACAGCCATGAAATTTGGACCATGTGCACAGTTTGAGATGTTAAATTGAATTTTAATATTAGCTGACCTAGATTTTGACATTTCACCTACTTTCTTGTCCTTTGATGTACAGCTATGAAATTTGAACCATATGTTCACAGATTAAGATGAAAATTGATATCAGCTAACCTAGATTTTGACAAAGTGACTTAGTTTCTTGTCCTTTGATGTACAATCATGAAATTTAGGCCACGTGAAATATGACCTTGACCACCAAATTCAACTAGACTTAACTGCATTATGGCAAAGTTCAATTGTATAGAAACAAAAAATAAATCTTCTGTTCTTATACTACTAGTTAGGGTTGTATTAATGCAATGGCATAGCATTTTTCACAAATGCAATCTTGTTCAACTTTGAGAACTCGAAATATTCCTTAGAAATATTCCTTTAAAGATCAATGTAATTCATACCTGTAGAATGTTGCAGACAAAATATATTTCCGGCCAGGCTTTCCCTGAATCAATTAGAGGTACAAAACTTACCACAGTACTATTACATATATATGATATTTCTTTACCCTTGAGATGTAAAATACACCCTTGAGACGTTGATGAATAATATTTACATACAAATAAATTTTTATTTCTTTATTTGTAATGATCATAAATGAATATAAACTATTGTGAAACATACATGTATCTTTAATTAACAAACAGGACAATAATTGTCTCTAACATGTATCTTACTGATATTTACAATCATGTATTAAGAAATTTAAAGTTTTCATGAATTTTGTGTAAATTTTAGCTTCATTTATTTAAAGAAACATATTCACATGTATATGTATTGCTTATATGTTATTTACATTTTCATGATTAAGTCTAAACAATAGAAGTCAAATGTAATACTTAATGCGCACAGAATTATTTTTGATATATCAAATACACATCACAGTAAAAAGTAACCTTGAAGCCGAACACTATAACTAACAAACCATATTTCTCCACTTCTTTGTAGTTCCATATAATCTTATGTTTAAATAATCTTGTAATAGTTTTATAACTCTTATTCAAATTTGAATAATCTCAACATTCCTCCACTTCCGTCATATGTAACAGCCATTTTGTCCATATCTTGGTTGAAACACACAGCCAATGAATTATTCATTTTATATCCCCCCAATATGTTTCCTTTAATCAATTGTCCATTTGAAGAAAGTTGTTGAATACAATGTGTTTCATAATTTACAACATAAATATTTCCTTGTGAGTCTGTAATAACTGACCACGGAAATTTAATTCCATGCTGGAATATAATATTTCCAGACATGTCTAAGCAAAGCAACTTGTTTGAGTTGTGTGAAGAAATAAGGACATGACCATACTGAGAATCAACAAATAAGTTGTATGTATTTTGCAATGTATTTCTATCAATACCGCTTAAATCGACAAATCCAGCATCTTTACCATCAAGCTTTATCTTTTTTATAACCGATTCTGACTGATTCATTATCAAAAGATTTTTGCTCTTTTTATCATAAGTTAAAAGATTGGGCCATTGACAGGTTAAACTTCTTAAAACAGTCATTTTATTTTGTTCAATTTTCATAATATTTATTTTGTTAGATGATGGCAAGGCAACAGCAAACACGTCATTCTCAGTAGCTGTTACTGATGTAGGCGTCGCACATTGATATGTTGATATTAATGATAAAGGCAAACCGTTATCTGCTTTGTAAGCTACTAACTTAGAAGAAAATTGAAATGATACTACAATGTAATTTCCAATCCAAACACAATATCTTGGCTGGCTCTCATTCAAACTGACCTCATGTTCATAAGTAAGTTTCCTATTCTTGAAATCTTTAGTTTGTGTAATTGCAGGCAAAACTGGCTCTTCTTTCATTTCTTTGATTTGGTAAAGATTTTCAACATTTCTTATAAGATCTTGAAGTGAATGTGCTTCTGACAGCGTGACCAATGACTTGCTTGATTGTTGTCGAAGAGTTGTGAATGTTTTCTCAAACTCTGTAACATGTTTACCCATTTCTCTTTCAAGAAGAAATACATGTATTGCTGTTCCATTTGCTTGGGCTATTTTCATTTTTTCTCCACATTGTTTAATATTCTCTCTAAGTTGCTCTGCTGTATCTCTCTGTAATGAACTAGCTTTTAATAATACCTGTTTCCTTTCTGACATTTCCAACATGATCCTCTTTTCAAGTTTACAAAAGGCGGCATCAAGTTTTACCTTAAGATCTTTTAAACATGTTTTCACTTCATCTTCTTTCCCACCAATCTTTGCTGAATACGTAGCTTCATGCGAAATGAGCTTTTCAACGTCACCGTCAATGGTATCAAGTCTTTTTTCAATACGGGATTCTTTGCTGGCTTCCTTGTTTGATTTTATTTCTTCACTTAAAGATACCATATCTTCACATTTTCTATGAGTAACGATCGCACATTCATTGCAACACAGTTGGTCATGGTCCTTACAAAGATATTTCACTTCTTCAGTATCATGCAATGGACATTTTGACAGGTTTGCTAAATATTCGAATTCTGCAAGATCTAACTTTTCCGCCGATCCCTCACTTATGTCTATCAATTTATGGTGTGATGATAATTTACTCTTCCTATGGTGTCTTTTACAATCTTCACACAGTTTTTCAGAACAATCATAACAATAAACAATAGCTTCAACCTTGATATCCTCCCTTAAACACGCCCCACAATCGTTTCCCTTTTCATTCATTGTCAATTTTCTTTCTTTCAAAATCGAAAGTAGAGTAAAGTTAATTGGAAATTCTCCACCCACTTTTCAACCTGTTTAAACCTGACTTTATCTGTTTTCGTGTCCGCTCTACAAACTGGACATAACAAAGTTTGTGAATCCTGTGTAATCTTTAGAATATAACCTTTTAAACATTCCTGACAGAATGAATGTAAACATGGTAATGTTCTAGGTGTGTCATATATCTCCAAACAAATACTGCAGTAAAAATGCTCATCACGTACCAAAACTTGATCTGATGTCGCCATTAATTTTATATCAGTTCTAAAGGGGAAGAACTACGTTAATCAGGTCGAGTTTACTCGTCTAGCTTACACGAACACAAAACCAGTGTCATTTTATCTACCTGTTTTTTTTTTTTTTTTTTTTTTTGGGGGGGGGGGGGGCGTAGTAAAACAGGACAAGCAGCTGCACGACTACTAAACAGTGGCTCCTTCACATTTTGGTGATCTGTTTAAATGAGAGCTCTTGACACTTCCGTTTTACATGGAGCCAGCTGAAAAAGGCTTAACACTAAAAATATTTCAAAGAGATTGGTTGAAAATGAAATATTCATTTTATTTAAATGTGATCCAGCCATCGACACAGTGCTGGCGCCATCGGAAATGTGAAAGAGCTTTCGCAAATGTGATGGAGCCAATACAAACATATAAATTGTGTCGATATTGTGGCGATTAATATTCATATATACTAATATAGGCATAATTGCACGAGTTGATACAGACTTTACATTCACGAAGATTCTAAGTGTGGCGTTTAGCACGAAGTACATTTCGCCAAATACAACATTATTTAAAAGTTATTGTCAAAACAATGAACATTAAATCAAGAATGAATCTTCGTCACACGCGGTGAAAACCAATAAAAGAATGCACACCCAAGGACCAAGTTTCAAAAAGCAAATCAAATAATCTTGATCAAAGACGCTTTTTTTGTTGCAAATTTAACTTTCTACACTCAAGAAAGCATTGAAAAAAGGGAAACATTAAAAAAGAACATTCAATTTTTTATATTAGATCTATTTGCTGAATCTTACTATGTGCTATAATTTTATGTTTCCTCTTTTTTGGCTAAAATTTCATCCCAATTCGACTGTGAAAAACTGGATAGAATGACCGTGCATTTCGGCAATGCCTACGGAAAACACGTGTCAGGTACATAACCTTATCAGTCAGTGAAGCTCGTCCGAAAAATATGGCCATTTATTTTGGCAGCAAAACCTTTTTCTCCATGATGAATATAATTTATAATGGTCTCATTAGCATCCGTGCATCAAAATAGTATCATCACATTGAGAGCTCTTTCACATTGAAAAATGGCGCCAGCACCGAGTCTCAGCACATTTGAATAAATGTAAACAACATTTAATTTTTAACCAAGCTCTTTAATTAAAATCGTTTTTGCCTTGGTTTATATAGAATTTATTTTAGTTCAATTGTGTAGGAAGCTATAAGCTTATAAACACACTTTCGAATCCGTTCCTGGAACCAACCAGTACTGAGCAATGAGGGTAAAGTTTCTTGCTCATAGAAACAACGACTTGCCCCTGTCAGGGTTTGAACCCATGCGGCTAGCGACCATTAGATTACTAGTCCGACGCGTTAACCACTCGGCCATGCCGCCACCGTTTTTGCCTTGAGCTAAAGGGTAGGTTAGGAGAATGTTTCATGCACGAAAATTGGCCGGCATGAACTTTACTACAAATATGTCTCGACGTAACAGAAAATACACAAGTTAATATTTGGTTAAAGTTATAGCAAGGTCATTTTGGGGTATTTTGTATCTAATTTGCATCCAGAATGATGATGTATATATTCTACGTGGCATGGCATTCTTCTTCTTTTTAAACAAGTATATTTTAAAAAAAGGATATTTTTACAAACTATGTTTACCTGTTTCTTTTCGATGGCTCTACAACGGAAGTGTCGAGGACTCGAGAGCTCTCTTTTTTAACAGATCACCAAATTTTAAAAGAGCCACTGTTTAGTATGCGTGAGCTGCCTGCTACATTACGGAGAAGTACATTTAAAAAGTTTTCTTTAACAATTGATTGTAAAATTGCTAAAAAGATTAATGTAAAAATGTAGAAACATGCAGACAATAATAATGCCAGAAACTTTTCATTACATTATCCAAGCCATTTGGGGGACTTGAATCAACAATCCCGAATAACATAATGAATTAAAGATTTTTCAATAGCATGTTTCATTTTATCTATATGAGATAAAAACAATAAATATGTACAATAATTGAGAAAAAGGTACATTTTTATGGTACGTAATAATACGACACTATCAACTTTGACACATTTTATTTAATTTGTTATTCGTGGTTAGTAAAGATGCCGAGGAATTATTCAAAGTTACAAATTAGATTTTATGAATTATTCAATTGATTGATAATTTAAAAGATGATAAAGAAAAATACAAATGTACATGGTTTAAGAATATAAGAATAAACAATATTATATATTGAAAGATTAACCATTATTTACTGAATTTTTCCAGTTAATTTTTGACTTATAATCGTCGGTCAATATGACAATTGAATTCTTAATATTTATTTTACAATTTAAATTAAAAAAAGTAAGTTAACATAAAAAAGCTAATAAAACACAAAAAAGAAAAGAAAACAATATTCATAATATCTGTAATTTTTTATCAAAATTAATATATATTACATTTATTGTATAATAAACAATTATGCTCAACATGATCAACATGGTAATATAACCAGTGTCATATTTTTACTAAGTGTGAATAGATACCTTAAGAGGGGGTCTTCGCTAATAGCGATAACATAATAAGGGACAATTACACAAGTGTGGTATTGATCATGCGTTTATAAATGATTGTTTACATGTATATCCGTTGCTCGCCCATATGGTCTCTTTCCAGTGGCGAGGGTAAACAAACGCAAACACACAAAATCCGTTGCTATTAATAACCACGGTCATAAAGAAATAACAAGTAATATTCTAATCTCTAGCATGCCAATCAAAGTTCATAATGAACAATGTCTTTCGTCCGCTCATTCATAAGTGATATACAATTCTGGTAAAAACCATTGAAAAGTTTATAAGAATATCTTGTCATCATATGTCTACTAGTTCATCTTCACTTGCTGCATTTCTTGCTTGGACGCCCTTTGATGCTTTGCATCAATGCTTTTCTTGAAGTTCGTTGTAATTAATGAAATGTACAGGTACTGGGCGTAACTTGTAGGCGCATCTCGTGCACTTAGGCACATAACGCATACACACACTGTATGCGTAACTCGTGCAATGTATGAGTGCAAGTAAAATGGTTTCCTGCGGTGAACATTTTAATGATATAAAGATATTTCATTTAACTATTTTCAACATTATTTGGGGGGGGGGATAAATCAACGTTTGTATCAGGAATTTTGTTGACAATTGAATAAACGATCAATATAGAAGAAGGTCTTTGGAAACTGGTGACCATTGAAGACCGGAGAAGGTCGAACATAAAACAATTATTTCTTTTTAAGAAAAGGATTAAATAGGACTACCATTATATGAATAATTCCGAGCAAAAAATAAATAAAGTAAACACACAAGTTTACGCAGAAAATACCTCTATTTATTATGGCAGATGCCACTACGAATATTCTAATTTTGTAGATTTTCAGTAAAAACAATTTATTGTTTGTAAAATTTGAGAAACATTGATAATTTTCAAACACATCATTTAAGTTTTTCCACATTAAACGGTAAAATAATTATAGAAAATTAGAAATATCACGTAATAGTTTTTTGTTCTTAATTAGGTGTAATTCGGACTAATTCCCTACAGGTAAATCCGTAACCGGCAAACGGTATTTAGCTAGGTTTTCGACAAGGTCAATTAACCAATCGTGCACGGTTTACAGAATCACAATCGTGCTCCTCCATGTACCGAAAACAGGTCACGTGCTCCTCCATGTCTCAAAAGTTAAACGCATACCAATACCCTGCGGTCTCCAGACCGCAGGGAATTACCCATACAAGCACTGTTTGGGTAACTCTACACTGTAGGCACAAAATTCATGCTTTATTCGTGCACTGTCGGCATATCACTCGTAAAAGCATTGCATGCGTTACTCGTGCACTGTCTAGGCACATAACCAAGGGGCAGGACGTGAAGTGGTTGCACACGTGGTTCAAGCGAGCGAATTAGTTGCAAACTTGACAAAATGGCGATCACGGCGTGATTTTTTGAAACGAGTGGACGAATTTTTGTCAGGCAAGTGGGTTTCTTTGTTATTTTGAAGTTCATTAGTATGTCTATTCCATAATGCAATATATATGCCACACTCGGTTAAAGGTTTCAGCATTCTAGATTCTGTTTTGACGAAGTTATTGAAGATATAAACTGATCATGTAGATATTTTGAAATTTGACATGTGACTGATCTGGTCGGTTTTTCTTCTAATTTATTCGAAACATGTAAATAATGCCCTTGTGTCAATCACCGTAGGGAATTAACGTGTTACAGTATCGCGTTTTCCAGTTACAGTATAGAATTTTAAAGATGGAGGATTATTTGTTGGGAGGACAGGTAGGTGATTTTTATTCCGGTCCATACTACAAGTAGTTTAGTTTCTAAAAGATATTTTTGTGCTTTGCTTGTAAGGAACAGAATCCGGTATCTAGTCATGTATTTCTTCAGACTCTGCGCCGCAGATTTATCGCTATATTGTCTCATAAATATGCAGATTTGACAGTTTGAAAATTTGAATCGAGAGACCAACGCATTTTACTCCAATTTCGACATTATTTATGCATGCCTAGAAAAAGTAAATCTGCAAAAACGTTAGTCCTTCATCACGGGGGGGGGATCACGTGACTTTGTATAGTAATACCCACGAGAAAATGGCTACTGCTGAGCCCCGGTAAGTACCTTATTATGTTAAATTAAGGTGACAAACGTTTCTTAAATCAAAACAAAACCTAGCGTATCATATGCGCGGTAATTTTCTTCAAATGACAATACAAAGTGCATTATCCTACGTTTTGTGTTTTTTGAGAACATTGTTTGAATTGTGTGAAAATTGCACATTCAGCGATAGTAATTCGCACGAAGCGATATAATTTGGTACCA